TGCAGCCTTCACAAGGTTTGCAAAAAATGGGAGGTAGTGGGTAATGGTTGGATATAGAAGTGTCGATATTGTGTTGCTAGTGTGTTATGGATATAGTATTAGCTTGTGGAAAAGTTCTGTGAATTTGACCAATTACAATATGCTCATTGTGATAAGTTAGGACCCAGGGTTTGTAAGTTTTGGGAATAGGGTTGGTTTGATATACAAAAGGATTGGAACCTTTGGGCTGAAAATGAGGTAGAATAGTACGAGATAAGTTATTTTCAAGAATAGATGTTTAAACTAGAGTGGTTTTTTGCCTTTAGGAATATGTAAAATTCTAGATGATAAGTGTAGCCAGTCTAGCAAAGTTCTGTTATCTGCAGTTGCTCACAAATAATTGTTAAATCCTTTGGATAATACTTTCTAATAAAATTTACAATAATTGTTATACCATTTCGAGCAAGGCTTTTTCTACAATAACTAGGATCTAATAAATGTGCAAGTAGTATAACCAGATGAAAATTTTCTTCCATCTTTTTTCTAATATTTCATAAATTGTATTTCCTATACTTGAAAAAAAATAAACTAAATTTAAATAAGTTATGTATTAGTATTATTATTAATATATATTAAAATTATTATTGTTATATAAAATATAACTTCAGAATTTAACTGTTGATGATACCATTTATAAAACATGGCTAATCATAGTGTATCAGATTCAAATAAAGAAATTCCTGTTACAGTTATTTAAGAATTTTAAAAGAGATTTTATATTTTGCCAAAAATTTTTATTTTCTATCATTTTACGAATCATTTTGGAAATTTTTATATTTGATCTCCATAATAATTCAACTAGTGTTAAATGAATTGCTACTTGGTTTTCAACTAAAGAACTTAAACAAGCCATAATTGATCCCCAACGTGTTATAACAAAAATTTTAAGTGTTTTCTTGTGTGTATAAGCTCGATGCTGTTTTAAAACTGCTGCTCGGATATGATGAGATTTAAAATATTTCACGATTTCTTTTGCTTCTGCTACAATTTTTGCTACCCATAGAATTTTTATAATATTATTTACTAATAAATATAAATTATGCGAAATATATCCTAAAAAAAAAATTTTAGAATATTCTTTTCCTAAAATTTGGCATGATTTTTTTCATTACAGCCATATTGTCAGTAATAATAGCTGATATTTTTTTTAACTCCAACTTGAATAATAATTTGTTTTAAATTGTTTGCAATTGTTTTACTATCTTGACGTATTTCTTCTGTTTGATATGCTGAAAAAAATACTGGTTTTGGCATTGATAATATATAATTATACCAATGCTCTTGAGATAAGTTTGATCTATTAATATATATATAGTAAAATATTAATATAATATAGTATATATATATATATATTAATATAAAATATATAAAAAATTTTTTTACCAGCTGTCTGAAATAAGTCAAATATTTTCACTTTTGCTAATTAATAAATCTATTTCTTGCTTTGTTTCATTATAAACTTTATCCAAAAGTATAGTTGATAACCATTTTCTATTAGGTAATTTAAAAGCAGAACGGGCTTTATGCCAAAGATCTTTAATTGGTTCTAATTCCAATAATAATAAAACTAAACTACAATAAAATATTGATTTTGCAAAACTTAGTTCAAGAGATATTTGTTCACTTTTTGAAATATGATCTCCAAAACTTTCTATATTTGTTGAGATTTTTGTTTGTAAATTAACTGGTTTAGATAAGTTTGATTTGGTAAACTTATTAGATCTCATTTGTTGTAAGCATATTTTTTTTTGTTCTGGTGTCATATTTGGACAATTTTTATTATGTGTACGAGCTTGTCTAATAGCATCATTAATTTGAGTATTGTATAATGTGCATAAATGTCTTTTTTGCTTAAAACCTAAAACATGTCCAAGTTTTTTAAAATAGGTCCAAGCAGGATTCATTTTAAAAATGATAGAAGTTTATTTAATATTAATGCAAAAATTTTTTAAAATAATTTAAATAGTATATTTAGGCATTAAGCACATGAAATATTACTAATTTTATCTAAGTGTTACATTAAAATTTATTTGATTTAATTTTAAATTCGTTGAACTAGTTTTATAAATTAAATTTATAATAAATATAAAGTAAAAGAGGGTATTATGACGCAGTTAACGTTAAACGGCGATATCACGTGATCTAGTGATCGGAATTGGACGATTTTAATACCATTCGATTCGTCTCATCATGACAAATCGAATGATATCAAAATCGTTCGATTCTGATCACTAGATC